TTCATGTTTGTCATTACAACTCTAACCGTTGCCAATACAAATTCTTACTTTAAAAAAGAAAAACATCTTAGGTTAAAAACACATTCCCATGCAGCTTTGTATGCGGAATGTAGTTATGTACCGGTAGGTCTACTTTTTTTTTGTTTTGCCTGGAAGAAAAGAGATGTTTTCAGCACATAACAAAACAATAATTTAAAACATAGTTGAAAAACATGTTCCTGAAATTTAAATGGACCGTTGAAACTTGCCAAAAGAGAAGGATTGCACTTTTAATTGTTTGCGATTTGTTGATTTTTTGTCCCGTTGTCCAAGCTTAAACATAACTTGGCTAGTATTAGCCCAAGTGTTAAACAAGTTCAATTATCAAGGAACTCTTTGAACTACCTTTAAAAGCTGCAGATGTTGCTTTAGAGGACTTGGAGGTGGAGTGGAATTTGATCAAGAACAGAGTGTATACATGGTACGTCATGTAGTAGTTCACTGTAACTCACTGTTCAATCAGTTGTGTACAGTACTTATATAGATATCCTGAAATAAATAGTTAACTTATAAAGTTCAATATGTTGCTTGATTTACTTTTAGGTACAAAACTGTCACTGAAGCACAGTGGAATGAAATCATCCCTGCTCTTAAGGATAAACTTCCCAACATAACCACCTTCATAAATCTGCTTCTGACCATACCTGCAAGTTCCGCGGCCGAAGCAGAAAGGGGTTTTAGCAGAATGAAACTTCTGAAGACGAAATCTCGAACCTGCCTCAAGGATGATTGCGTCAGTGACCAGTTGGTTGTCATGCTACAGACCCCTCCCATAAAAGACTTTGACCCAATGCCCGCAATAAACTTGTGAAACTGTCATGGGGGAGTAAGGAGGATAAGAAGGCACAACATGACCCCCAAGACCTGTGGGTCCAAGATAGTGACAGTTCTTTGGATGAAGATCAGGCTGAAGTCAAATTGATGTCAAATTTTTCAATGGTAAGCTGATAACAAATTTTGGGGATTTAAAAAAAACCAATTATATACGGGCTTTTAAAATATCCAGTTAACTAGCCCAGTGGGCTTGCCAGGAAAAAAAGTTAGCGCAAGGCCTGTTATGTCAGATAATTTTACACGTATATAACCTTTCTTTCATGGGCAATTACGAGTCTAATAGTCTGAAAGGGTTGAATGGATGCCCCTTTGACCTGTTGTAAGCTGAATTTGATACAAGGGTTAATAAGCCATGGGACGCTGACTTCTTCAAATGCTTGGCGTATTTTAACTTTGAATTCCCCAGACCAAAGCGACTGTCACTATATCACGGGGCAAGCCTTACACTAGCAACCCCCAGCTCCAGAATGGTCTGGTGTCTTTGTGTCATTCTCACCCACTGTGAACAATGCATTTGTGCTGAACATCTCTTACGCAACTATATAGAACTTGCCCGAAACATGTGATATACCAAAAGCGTCTTTGGTCTGGCAAATTCAAAGATATTTGCGCACAGCACACGGGATATGGTGTTTTGCCTGGCAATTGCAGCTCAAGCAGAGGGACCCAGGGACTGACTTCCCTCCCCTCAGAACTAAGTGGTATGGACATACATACAAAGTGCTGAGAGTTGAGCTAGGTGCTGTTAAGTATGGGGTCAAGAGGTCAAATTTTCCGAAATGTGTTTTGCGCAACAAACACCGTCCCTCTTTGGAGGGTTAAACAAGAAAGTTCCCAGACATTTTGTTCTTGGAGGACCAAAGATGATCCTAACTAACAATGTTAGGGAATGGTCCTGTCTGCTTTCACAGACTGTTTTCTTTCTTTTCTTTCCAGTCCGACAGCCAGCCAAGAGCCAGCTCAATCCAAGGACATCTTCACCGATATTATTGAGTCGATAATTAATGATCTCACCTTTTACCTCGAGAGATGAATTGACCTTAGGTCAACGACCTCAAGTAACCCCTTTTAATTGTTATTGTCAGCCTAGGATAATAATGAATCCCTTGTTTACACTTTCTAAAGAAATATACCTTTGAAACACCAGAGAAAATATATAAAAAGCTGATTTTTTTTTGTTCTGTTAATGTTGCTTCTTTACCAGCAGAATTGACTTAAAGTCGAGATTGATTAGGGGAGATGGGGGTTAGTTGGAACACGGGGTTAGTTGAAACACTGAATTTTTCTTGCACAGCTTAATTAAATTTTATAAAATTCTGCCCTCAAGAGGTGTCCCTTAGCAACAGCCATCCACCATATTGCCTGCAGCAACACTGCAACAATAGTGCTCAAGTGGGAAAGGCAAGTTTGTTTTTTTCACCTTTTGAGTAATTTTTTCACTATTCAAAAAATGTGTACTTTCTTAATGGTGTTAATAGATAACTGTGACTAGTTTGGGGGTATTATATGCTCCAGTACTAAGCTTCAAAATAAGGTTAAAAAGATATGTATTGGAGCCCCTGTTTTGTAGAGTGAGCAAACAAATGTCACGTGGGCCACTGGGGCTAGTTGAAACATTTTGATGGGGGCTAGTTGGAACATTTTGATGGGGGCTAGTTGGAACATTTTGATGGGGGTTAGTTGGAACATTTTGATGGGGGCTAGTTGGAACATGTTCCAACAAACCTCAACAGAATTAATGATTATTATGAATGAACAAAAGTTCTACAACTTTACAAGTATTTTCATGTACATGTATGAAGGAACTGCCTTTTCGATGAAAGTTCTCATCTCTTTTTAAACTTTTATTGCACATTGCAGGGAAAATTGCAAATAATGAATCTAGGCCTACATACTGTTGTACCGGTAACACAGAAACAGACTGTTTGATCTATTCTTATCATAACTGTAGGCCTTCTGACTGTTGAGTTTTGCACCTAGGCCAATAGATTAATTTGCCTACAATATTTCAATGAGGGAAACATTGAATGCTGGCTATTCCTGTGTTTTACTCATCTTCTTTTCCACAACCCTTTTGAAAGATTGTTCTTGTTGTTCATCTTCAGCAGTCAAAATGCCGCGGAAATATATTCGTAAAACTACTCGTTGCCAGACCCCACCAGACATTATGTAGCGAGCTGTGCGAGAAGTGCTTGATAATCAAAGACAAGTTCGAACTGTTGCAACAGAGTTTGAAATACCTCATGTTACCCTCCGAAGATACGTCTTCAAGGTGCGCGACAACCAGGAACGTCCAGGGTCCGCAATAAGCGGTATCGCATCGCAATTTGCGACACATTCGAGGCCGACTGCGACGCAATTTTTAAAGTGCATTGCAAAACTGCTTTACAACTTTTGATCATGAAGGTTGACACAAAGTGTACTTGCCACCAAATTTCGGTCCACTGAATTCCACAACTATCGGACATGGTAAACATTCATCATGTTTTGATTTAGTTAAGCTTAAATACTGAAAAAGAACGTCAATTTTGTTCAGCTGTAAAAAATCTGTACGTGTTTAGTTTGTAAACAAACCATTTTCGATTCAGTGACTGCTGACATGATGCTGCTCGATCGCGTACTGTTATACTTGTGTTCCTGCATGTGTGTACGTGTGTGTGTACGTGTATGCAGTACATGTACATGTTGGTAAAGGTCACAGAATGAGCCAATGAATCCACTCGTAGATAATACTTTGACCCTAGTGTGACCTCACTGAATGGACTGTTTCATTCTGATGATTAGGGGTGAGGATCACTCATTATGAGAGTCCAGCGACTATTAGCGAGTATTTTAATGGTATAAATACATTTGTTTTGAATTCCTAATTGGTTTATTTCATAGATGATAATTAATTTACATAGTTTAAACATTCTCATCACTATTCTTTAGATATTTGTCGGTTTATCTTAAACATTTTGCCGACATGGAAAACGGGTTTACCCCTTCAAGTAAATCACTTGATACACACGAGGGATTCGTGGGAACTAAAACGTCAGAATCCCAGCTGCGGTGTCGTTTGTGCGCTGTGTAGCATAGTGATGAAAACATGGCTACTACGAAAACTACCGGTATCAAGGCAAATACTGGCAATAATTGGCAGGCGGATCTAGACCCGGGCCAGGAATGGCTACGATTTGAAAGAAATGGGAATTTCGTGACCAAGATGTCTTGTACGCTCTGTGATGAATTTAAAGAGAGGTTGAAATATTGCCGAAATTTCAGCAATGCATTCATAAATGGGGTGACAACAATGAAGAAAGACGCCGCATTCAAACATTTGCATAGCGAAATGCACCAGAGAGCCACTGGGTTCAAGTCGGCACCAGCGTCAATTGATGATTTTTTCAAGCAGACAACAATTGGCAAAAGCATCAGAAAGGGGGAGGAGGCAGAACAAATGAGAATCGAGAAGCTTATAGACATTGCATATGTTGTTTGTAAGACGGAAAAACCCTTCACACTCTTTCCATACATCTGCAAACTTGAGATTCGCCATGGAGTGGAACTGGGGACAAGCTACCACACTGAAAAGAAATGCGCAGAATTTGCATCTTGTGTAGCTGAGGTATGGTTTTGCGTTTCTCTTTAGAATTTTTTCTAAAATCAACTTTTAACATCAAATAAAATTAATTCTACTACCGCTACCGGTATGCCATAATGCCTAAATTTATTATCATCCTTGTTTAATGTATTTTATTTTATAGACTGTCTTGTAACTCTTTGTTTTTTTAATGTTAATTTGGAATGAATTCATGCAAATTGATAGTTAACGGGCTCACGCCCATAGGGTCCCCCTGGCCAAATTTTCATTTTCTTAGAATACTTAGAAAATATTTCGAACAAACTTTTGTAGGCCCGAGAAAAGTCATTTTTTAATTAATTCAAAATATTATTTCATGCAAATTGATAGTTTATACCGGGCTCATGCCCATGATGCCCATAGGGTCCCCCTGGCCAAATTTACATTTTCTTAAAATACTTGGAAATATTTCGAACACAATTTTGTAGGCCCGAGAAAAGTCATTTTTTAATTAATTCAAATATTATATGATGTCATATTATGATGTTCACTTTATTCTTTTCTCATGTATGTCCTGAAAGAAGATTTGATGAATGATATCAAAGACACCCCCAAGTACTTAACCATTTTCATTGATGGAAGTACTGACGTTTCGACAACAGAGCGGGAGCTGATGTACATTCTGTATATCCATGAGGGAGTACCAACCGTGAAGTTCCTGAAGCTTGAACATCTTGCATCTGCAAATGCCAGCAGCATTGTTGCAGCCATCAAGTCTGTCATTGGGCACTTCAACTTATCCAATCATGGTTTAGTTGCCTTCGTCAGTAATGGAGCATCAGTGAACTTTGGACGCAACTCAGGTGTTGTCACCCGCCTTCGTCAAGAGTATCCAGACCTCTTAGGTATCCATTGCATGAACCACCGCCTGGAATTAGCTGCCAAGGATGCTTTTAAGGGAACCAGTATGGAAGAAGTCATTACTATGTTGAACTCCTTGTATGCCCTCTACTCAAGAAGTCCAAAACGTATGGGAAAACTTGAAGAGGTGAGGTTGAACTTTGGTGATTTGTCTTAACATGTACATGTAGTAAATTTATTACAACATACTCATTTTTTTCATTATTATTTAAATATTATATTGCACACTTGGTATGAAAATGAAATGAATAACATTATTGCACTGTTTCTGTTTGCACAGGGTCCGTATTGCACATAAATTGACATACATGTAATATAATCATATTTTGTTTTTATTTCAGTTGGCCAAAATTATGAAAGAAGATTTGCTGAAGCCAGTGAAAGCTAATAGAACCAGATAGGTACATTTCAAGAGCAGAGCAGTGGCAGCCCTCATCAAGTCATATGCTGTGATAATTGCCTCTCTTGAGAATGAAGTAGCCAGTAATGAGCCAGCTGCAGAGATGGCGAAACTGAATGGCTATCTCAACAAGCTGAAGTCTGTTCGTTTTGTATTTCATTTGCTGTTGCTTAAGTCATTGATCACTCCCCTGGCAAACCTGTCACTTGCTCTGCAGAAGGACATTACCCACTTTAATGTGGCCCTGACCTACCTGACAACCTTCTACCAAAGGATCAATGATCTCCTCTCTGCTCTCAGAGCTCTGCGAGAACCTGAGGATCATGAGGATGTTATCTCTACAGATGTGGATGGTCGAAGTCTGAATGAGAGTGATGATGAGCCAGCAGCAAAGAGACCAGCTCTGACCAAAGACTATATGGTGGCAGATTTCCAAAAGATTCTGCATGATCTTATGGAAACGGACAGTGGAATGAGCTTCAAGGATGTTCAACTCAAAGGTCAAGCACTATCAGCATCCGACGTTGACACCATATCAACAACTCTAATCACTAACGTGGAAAAAAAGCGTCCACATAAGGCTTGGCAAATGTCACGAAGAGGCACAGTATGCAAGTCTCAAGATTCTAGATACTCGAGCGTGGCCAACTGATCGTGAGGCTCTTGTTAGATTTGGAAGACCTTTGGTGCAGTCTTTCATTGATCACTTTGGACAACTGGTCACCCAACAAGGTAATTATTTATTTGTAAATGACTTATTAAACAAAAATTACAAAATGATAAATAACACTAACAGTATTGTTTATTTGCATTTGTAGCTTTAGAAAATACCTTCTATCCTTCTTGTTTCTTACCCTTACCCACCTACCACAATCCTATAGGTTGCAACACTGATGAACTCTTCCATGAATGGGAAAGCTGGAAACTACTGTGGAAATCCAGTTTGCAACACCTGAACTGCAGCAGTGAGATATGGAGAAGGCTACTTGTTAGCTACCACACGACTTACCCAAACCTCTGTCATATGATTAGAGTGATGCTCCTTGTGCCAGGTAAACAATTTTATATTTCTTCATAATTTGTTACTAGCCTAGAGGTTCAAGTTCAAACTGTAATATGATTACACATAATCCATTACACTAAAAGTAGCACTAGTACTTGTGTTTGTTTTGCTAATCTACAAAGACTAAAATCAAATGACTCACAATTTCAAACTTCATTACAAGTTATAAAGGACTTACAACTGTTAAACACAATGACACTGAGCTGGGCATCACATGAAATTTGATTTGATCCTTTATTTATTTTTGCAGCATCGAATGCCATCGTGGAGCGGGGCTTCTCTGCCATGAACAGGGTTAAGAGTGATTACAGAAATAAGCTGGCAACTGACACCCTAGATGAACTTATGCGTATCACACTGAGTGGCCCCCGAGAGCATATTTTTGATTCATCAAGTGCGGCAACCTGTTTCCTCAATAGATGCAGTCGGCGCCCAGGTCAAGCAGATTAGCAGAACAACAACCAGGTCCAGGCACAGGCAGAGATGTTATTATTATAGACACACAAGAATAAGATGATAGATCATATAATCGCTTCAGTGTCAGTATCACCTTTAAGTCTTAGCTTTAAATTGTCAAATTGAAATGGCATTATGGAAATTGCCACAGTGATGCTGACTGAACTGATGGATTAGGATTAAGAGACTTTATAAGTAGTGATATGATCAACACTCAATCACTCATACTCCCTTCTGTAACTGTTCAGTGTTCAGTCTTGGTGACTGACTCAATTGTTGTTTGATCAATGATCATATTATTCATAATTTAGTCCAAAGTTGACATAGAGTTATTAATAGTTGTTGGATCTCGTTGTGTTATGATTGAAAGTTAACTTAATTCAATTGTTTGCAACTTCAACTTGTAGTCTCAGTCTTGTAAATTTGCAGTCTTAGGTAACCTTACCTATTACTCAGAGTTGGAAACTTAGAATGATTCAGATAGATCATTAGAGTCTAGAGAAAAAGAGGAAGAGTCAAAGAGACAAAGACCACTAAGAGATAATGATTAATAAAATGCTACTGTTGTGCTGAGGCTCAGGGCCTGAGTCTGAAGTAAATTGTTATAATTTGTTAACTTGCTTTTTCACTCGAAAGTTATTCCAGCATGCATGCAGCTCCTGAAATAAACAGACAACTGATGAGTCATTAAGTTCACAGCTTAACGTAAGTTACTTCTTTATTGCTTTGTAATTTGTACAGTCTGACACTGACAGGTAAATAGTAATTGCAAAGCCGAGGCTAAATTTGAGTATAACAAAAACTGCTATGCAAAATTGGTAAACTGCTATGCAAATCAACATTTGCATAGCAGTTTTGCTATACAAAAAAAAATCCTTAAGGCTTACCCTGGGAACGTCCCATACCTAATGCCCCCGAGAATAACCTAACAGGCGTCAAGAAGCAGGATGACATCATTGCGGCCAATGTTGCCGTTGCCAACAACCAGAATGACATCACCAGTGCTTGGAACAGTTATTTTACTTGAACTCAAATATAAATGCCGTTTTTAAGTAATTGAAGTATACTTTCAGATTAACACAATACCAAGTTCTAACTTACCCCATACCATGTTCCAACTTACCCCATATGAGGGGTTATAGTTGGAACACATGTCGTAGTTGTGATCAAGATGGATTTTTAAAATAACCATCAACAATTCTGAGAATATTATATGCTACAGTTGCAACACACATTTGTATGAATAAATTGGCATAGTTGTTGTTTCTTGAAAAATACCTGTTTGTGTTATGGACATGTTTTTGTGAAGATCGTTCCAACTAACCCCCGTCTCCCCTACTTTATATTGAGCGTCGGACACGGGTATGTTATGTTAGTGTCAAACATTAACTTCCGTGTGTAAACCAACATGTAATTGCTGTATCGTTGTGGTTTTTCCAAATAATGGTCACTTTTTTCCTGTCCCTGTTACATCTGGCATCTAGGATTTCATAATTCTGATGCACTCATAAAACAAGTTGTGTACTTAACGCACTGTATTTAAACTTGTGTGGATAACACATTTGCCAACAGCACACATACGATTGAATCCCGAAGAGTATAAAACCAAGAAGGCTCCCTAAAAAAGTTTGCATAAACAACACGAAGTTCTTGATTTTGTCAACTGCGTTTGCAGATCATTGCAGTGCATGCAGATCTTGCTTCGTAAATTACCGTGCCACTCTGTTCTGTCTGCATGGACCAAAGTGCCGTCCCACATGGATGGCAATGCGTTCGCAGCCATTTCAAAGCGTGATTGTGAAATAACAGGCCGCAAAGTCTGGCGAATTCTCCAATCATCTGACTCACTCGAATCAACGTATGATCTGAGGAGCCAAATCTTGTTTCTTGCATGGTCGCGGTTGGTCGTTTTAGCGAGAGGGCGCTATCACCAAAATTGCCCGCGGACTAGAAACCTCACAAAACACGTATTTCAATTACGACGGAAAAGAGCCCCGTTGAGGCAAAAATTCCTGAAATTTAGTTTCTTGTTTAACAAGCTCCATACAATACACTTTTCTGCTTTTTCAATAAAACACATGGAAACCTTCCTGGGCAGGTTTCTATGAGTATATTCTATGAGTAAAAACAAATAGTATGATCACATCACCCCAGCTCTCATGCAATTGCACTGGTTGCCAGTCAAGTATAGAGTGATCTTTAAAGTTTGTCTCTTGGTATTTTAGTGTCTCCATGGTTGTGCTCCTAATTATTTGTGTGATCTGCTAAGTACTAGAGTTCCAACTATATTTACTCGTTCTGCGCTAGACACGTCTCGATTATATTGCCCTAATGCCAGGCTGGTTTCCGCAGGTGAGAGAATGTTTTCTGTGGCTGGTCCCTACCTGTGGAACCAGCTTCAAATTAACCTTAGGGAGTCTTCCAGTGTACATAGTTTTAAGTCAGGTTTGAAAACTCATCTTTTTAAGCAAGCCTTTCTTAATTCATAGGATAGTGGTTTTTTGTATTGGCTGGGTTTATAACGTATAAATGTAATGTAAATTATGTAATGTATTGATCAATACCTTTTTAAGCAGGCTTTTTAATTTATAGGTTACGGTTTTTAATTGCTGGGTTTATAATGTATGTTAAAAAAAGTAAAACAAAAAAAAAAAAAAACACACACACACACAAAAACCCACCGTCTTTTTTTACTATACGCCTGAGGTCAACTATTGTGTTTTCCTTTGTCCCTCTAATATAACACTTTCCCATAGACTAAGCACATAACCGTACGATCGAGGACCGGTTTTAACAATAGGCACCGTCGTCCGAGGGTCAAAGGCTCCTTTGAGCTCCTTTTGTTGTCTGCCCTCGAGCGTAATACAATACAAGAGCCCGGTTTTTAAACGGCTAAATGCTAAAAGAAAAAGTATGTTTTTTTTAATGGCTAATTTTTCCTCACTGGACTTGTAATGTAATTGTATGTATTGATCTACATGTTCACCTTTTTAAACATATTTATGCTGTAATTTTTATAAATCTTTTTAATGTGTACAGCGCCTAAGAGCATATTATGGATCCGGGCGCTATATAAGTGTTAATTATTATTATTAATTATTATTATATTTTGTCGAGGAAGATTCCTCTTTTGGGGCGTAGTTTAACTCGACGTTTCGAACAGATAATTCTGATGCACTCCCGAATGCAGTTTTCCTCCAAGATTGATTATGAATAGCAAACTACCCACCCAACGAAGACAAAAAAGGCATTTGAAGTCAGTCTTTATGATAGTTGAATGGCAAAGTACAAAGTACCAAGGTAACAGGGACAGGAAAAGTTTCACTCTTTGGACCCTAAATGTATTGCCTGACCCATGTCCTAAATAACTTGAAGGTAGTAGAGAGCATCTGATAATGCAATTGGTTCATTGTTCAGTGTAACATTTACCCAATGTTGAGTTCCTTGTTGAGTATGCATCGTTCGTTTTTTGAAGTAAAACAGCTTTCTAGGTAGGAATAAAGATTTTTACAATCATCTGTGAAAGTTATTGTGATAAGCTAAAACAGCATTCCAGGTTTCCACGATAGCTTATCACAGAATTCCACGTTTCCACAATAGCGTATCACGGGATTCCACGTTTCCAATATAGCTTATCAAGGAATTTCACGTTTCCATGATGGCCTAATACGGAATTTCACGTTTCCATGATACGGTATCGTAGCATTCCACGTTTCCATGACAGCCTATCACGGAATTCTATGTTTCCATGATAGCCTATCACGGAATTCCACGTTTTTGCGATAGCTTATCACGGAATACCGCTTTGCCAAGATATCTTATCTCGGTATTCTACGTTTCCAAGATATATCTTCTCAGTAACGCGGTAACGCGGATGGTCATATACGCTTCCGTAGGCTGGCGTGCTGGTTCATAGCTAGACCCCTGCTTCGTTACAGTACATTGTGGGCTGTCCATCCATGTACATAACTCAATTTTACAGTTTTGCATAATAATACCTGGTTTATTTGTAGAGTCAGTCAAAAAATATACATCTGGCAATCAACAGCATAACATGCTTCCGTAGAAGAAAAACACCAAAAGGACATTCTCAAGACAACCAACTGTGTGTGAACATTCCCAGCTTTCCAGAAATAAGTTGACACTTCAAACTTGTTTTTACTTCCTAATCCCAAGATTTTTTTTTTTCTTAAACTTAATCGTGAATTTAACTCTCTTTGTATCATACACGTATGATTAATGAACAAACGGCGGAATAATTTTGAACTCGTTTATTAAACTGCGTTTGAGCCAGGGACTGCAACGTGTATTTGATTTTTAAGTACCAATTTGTTCACGTTTCTGTTTGTGTTTTTATCGTTGTAAGGAATCAGCAAAGGAGAATACCAGTTAATATTTGCATCAACAATCAGCAATGGTGGTCAGCAATCAAGCAATGGCGTGCTCGACTCACTATTTTGGTTACAGACGAAGTGCAGTGCATGACCAAAAATGGTAAAATCAGGGGTGTACGTCAGGTCTTTTATTAAAGCAGCAATGATGATACTGTCGATTTTGCTGTGGAATTCACGCGGTTGATTTTTATCCTTTCGCATTCCTGCAACTCCACATTTTTTTTTAAATTGACACCAGTTAACCTTTATATTTCGTGCAAATTTTTACTGCACTGGAAACAGTAAACTTGAACTTTCCCAAGAGCCTATCATGCCGACAAACCACTTTCTGAGTCCCCGCCATACGGCCCAATTGCAACTTGGCGTACCACTTTCCTCATCTCAATTTTGAAACTTTCCTGATTTCTTTCCGCAGGGAGTACCTTAATATTTATCGACTTTGGTCTATAAGCCATTAGACCCACCTATACCCTTTGGGATTTACATTTGAAAGGATGAACTTCCCAACATAGGCCTAACCACCTTCATAAATCTGCTTCTGACTATACCTGCAAGTTCCGCGGCCGAAGCAGAAAGGGGTTTTAGCAGAATGAAACTTCT